GTTTTTTCAATTCCACCACAATACTTGTAACAATTCTTCTCTTTCTGGAGTCAACTATTGATTTATTATTAAGGCATGAATGTGCCTCTCCCGATTGTTCTTTTAAAATGTTTTGTAACAGATCTGTTCACTTGCAGGTTTTGACAGAATATGTCCTTGTTTCTGTGACTAGTGCTGTAACAGTGACTGTAGCAGGAATTGTGAAGGAAGCTGTCACTATTCTGGTATAACTAAAGTTTGATTTTGCTTTCCATGTTAGTTTATACAAAATTCATCTATGCTAGTTCATTCATGTGATTGTGAGTCTACAATAAAAAATGCAGGTTGCTGTGCTATTCTTTCATGATCCATTTACATGGTTAAAGGCGCTTGGGCTGGCAATAATAATATTTGGTGTCAGTCTATTCAATATTTACAAGTGAGTCAAAACTTTCATATTTCATTTCCATGTTATTATTGTTACCGATCCACAATTGGTAAATCAACTCACAAAATTTTCTAACTTTGAATCTTTAAATAGGAAGCATGTGTTTATTTCTAATGCATGGAGAATATTGACTAACAATTGTTTGTGCTGTATGATGAAGGTATAAAAGGTTCAAAAAAGGGCATCACAAAGAAGATACTGGGACAAATATCCAATCTTCCAATGGGACTTCAAAATACGTTATCCTTGACGATGATACGGAAGCCCAAGATGATACAGGCTGACCTGAATGTGGTAGGTAAGGTCAAAAAAATATATATGAGGGATATATTTTTTGTCCAGATAGGATTTTTGCTTGGCAATTTCTCGATTTTTTCCAATTGGTTTAATGGTTTAATTCATGTTTTTTTCAGAATGCAGACTATTATATGCACTAGCGTTTCCAGAGAAGCAAGATCATCTGTGCCTGCATAGCCTTGCTTTCACAGGCTAACTGATTTCATATTTCTGAGTTCATCAATCGCTCTGGTCAGCCATGCACGAGCATGACGCTTGCAGCCATGAGCCATGTGACAAGATGGGAAGACTACGCTCATACATGGAACATACAGCCTGGTATCCGTACAGATGTTTTGTCCTTTCATTCAAAACAAATAATTGTGCATATATCTGAACGAGACTTTCTGCTGTATGTCCACTAAGAAAATGTTCCATCAACTGCAATTAGAAATACAGCTGACACACTATTAACTTTCTGGAATAGGAGAGAGCTCAATTTTGTAGTGCATTCTGAATGTTGAAGGGGGATTCAGCATCGGAACGCGTAGCTTTCTTTTCTTTCTTTCTTTCTTATTTTTTTAAATGAAAATAAACACTCTTATATGTATCATTATGGGAATGTATACTGTTTCACATACAAGGGCTGTGTTCGGCTGGCTGGCTGGCTGGTTGCCGGCTGGCCAGCCACCTCACAGAATCACTGTTCACGTCCTGTCAGAACAGTATTTTCCTCTCACAACAATCAGCCGAAACAGTATTTTTCAGTCCTGCCGAACACAACCAATCACCACAAGTTGAAGTTCGTCCCACCTTATTTTGGAAGGATTCTATTGTACTTCTACCTTGAGAGCATAGAGTCAAGTCAGCCCCGGTCTATCTCAATTAATCCCTCCGTTTCAAATTATAAGTGTCGTTAGCTCAGCCTCTCTGGTTGCGGAAACCGAGGACGGGGTGACGCATGAAATCTGGCCGACCTCTAACGACCCCCACGGGGCTTGGGGTCTCGAGACGCCTGACCCGAAATCGAGAGACCGGGGTTCGAAGGCCGGCCCGCGAAGGGCCCGAGGCCGCCTCGCGTCGAACAGAGCCAGGGAAGAAAATGCAGATGAGCCCCAGCGGCCTTCACCCGACCCGCTTAGAAGCGGACAGGGTTATCTCGACCTTCTCGTTCGATCCTAACCTTAAGCCAAGCTCGCAGAATCCCCACTAAGGGGAGGCCATCGGGTCACCAGAGCCGATCTCCGGAACGGCTCAGGCATCTGTCGGGAGACGGGTTAAGGAGTAGTGGAATGCCACACAAGGGCCATGCCGACCCCGTCACAAACGATGAACCCAGATTCCACTCGAACATGCTCGTTAGCGAGCTCACCGAGCGCGTCACTCGAGCCATCGAGTCAAATGACATTAGCTCAACCCCTCCGATTACGGAAACCGCGGATGGAGCGACGATCACAAAGACGAGACGACCCTCGGGCGGACCCCTGCTACGCGCGGGGGCTCGAGGCAAGTTTCACGGCCATACCCGCAAAGGGCCCGACCTCAACAAGAGGGAATCACCGTCCCCAGGACACGCTGGGGGCGACAAAAGAAGGCCAAGGCTCTTAGGGTCTCCCGATTCGGAAAAGCCTCCAAGGAGTATTCTACTCATCCGAAAGTTCGGGGGCTACTGTCGGGGACCAATGCTAGGGTACCCGAAGAGGAGGGGCTAATGGTCGTTATACGTTAATCCATCCAGGCAGTCAAAGGTGCGACTACAACTCCAACCGAGGCTACGGGCTCCGCCTCGTCCGACCTCTGGCCGCGGGCTCCGCCTTGCCCGACCCCAAGGTCGTGCGATCCGCCTCGCCCGACCTCTGGGGGCGGGCTCCCCCTCGTCCGACGTCTGAGGCCTGGCTCCGCCTCGCCCGACGTCTGAGGGCTGGCTCCGCCTCGCCCAACGTCTAGGGGCTCCGCCTCGCCCGACGTCTGAGGGCAGTCTCCGCCTCGCCCGATCCCTCGGGCACGGCTCCTAACGGAAGCTCACGTCGCCGTCAACCACTACAGGCCAGAAAGTATAACCCAAGGTCAAACTTCTGGCATCGTGCGGGGAGCGGTCACGTCTCAACACTACCTGTTCCCGTGACATGTCATTCTAGGGGACTCACATCGCCCATGGTGACGGACGCGTGGTCACTATGCAGCCTACTCCCTATACGGCCGCTGATCAGCACGCCGGTTTGCCGCACCGTCTGCCGGGGCGGGATGGGACGTCACGACCCGCTGACAACGCCAAGGCATGGCATCATCAGGCGGACGGGCGCCCGGCGTGGGGCTGTCCCTGTCGCCACCGGCCATGTCAGCGGGGCCCGCACAAAGGAAAGGAAGGGCTCGACGACCCTGAAGGACTTCCTCTCCCTCTCATTCCTCTTTTCTTCCGTTGCAACCCGTGCTTTTTCTTGGCTTATAAAAGGAAAAGCAGGGCGTCCCTTAGAGAGGGATCGGACTGGCATCACATCGCACAAGATCTCATCACACCGCATCAGATCAAAACCACTAGCATCGAACCTCGAACACATAGCCGAGCAGCAACCGAGTTCTCGGGACCCATTCGTTCTTTCCAACAGAGACTTGGGACATGTCCCTCTCTTGACCGTTTGTAACACCTACTACGAACTTTCAGTGCTAGTAACACGAGCAGCAGCAACAAACTGGACGTTAGGGATATTCAGCCCGAACCAGTATAAACCTCGTATCCTCTTAGCACACCATTCGAGCCAGACGCTCAATAATACAAATTTACTCGTTGGTGTTTACTCGAAACACCGACAACTTTAGTCACCTAAAATTTTTAGTTAGACTAATAACCAGTCCAATGATCCAAATGGACCCTTAGTTATATGAGGAACACAAACAGGACTCTGAAATGTTACATGGGTGATACTGTAATGGACTTTGATTCCTAACATGCGATGAAGAACCATTTTGGAAGGTATATATTGTTTACTAAAGCATAATAAGTGAGGAAATCCCTCCCGCAGTTGCCTACACATGTCCGTCCTCACTGCCGATATAAGACCAATCATCAGTTCATCGTCATCCTATGGAACACTCACACCAATCCCGCGTTCGGCTGGCTGGCCGGCTTCGGCTGGGCTGGCCAGCGCACTCAACAGTATTTTCAGGCAGTATTTTTCTTCGCACCAATCTAGTCGAAACAGTATTTTGACTTATTTTTCTGCCGAACATACATCTGCATCCGTCATAGCTTCCCTGGAAAACTGGGAACCAATGACCCAAAGCTTCCGTCCTCCTGTGCGACTGCAAGAACTCGCTTTTGTGCCACACCTAGGAAGGCTGGATCGATCAGTCCCCTCGGCCTTTGGAACCTAGCCTTGGATCTCAACGTGTTTGTCCGATCTGCTCTCAAATTCCCTCTCGTAACGCCGTGCTAGACTGCTAGGCGGACGGCATCATGTGCGTATCCCACGCGGCGTACCGGTACAGCGACGCAGGCCGAATTCGACGCAGCGGCCGGCGTAGCCTCGCGGTTAACGCGCGGCTCGTGAGTCGTCCCTCCCGGCATCGGGAGGAGACACGGCCGTGGAGCCGTGCCGCGCCGCGGTTCTGCCGGCCGGCTCTGCCCGGGTGGCGAAAAAACAAAACTACTAGCCGGCCGTGATCGGCAATGGGGCGGGACAGCACGCGGCCCGCAGGTGGGGAGGTGGGGATGGGGTTGGATCCGTAGCGCCCGCATCCTCCGCGCCGCACGTGGCCTCGATCTCGCGCGCGTGTGTGTTCCCCAGCGCTCCCAACCACCGCGGCGCCGAAGCCGGGCGGCACACGCCGGTGCGTTGCCACTTGCCACCGCTTCATCACCACCGCGCCACCACTAGCCATCAGGTGGGCAGATTCCGCTTCCGCATCGGACGAAGCCTGTCTGTTTGGCGCGGGACCGCAGGCGGAGCGCACCACGCCGCAGCTCGTGGCGGCGCGAGCCATGTCTCCATCCGTGATCACAAATGGCGAGACGAAGAAAGAAAAATGCCAAACCTTTCGCTGCTTTCTGGTTGGAATCACATCGCAAACGGGACAACCTTGGACGGCGAACGCACGAACGAACAAGAACGCACGCGCGCAGCCAATCAACACGGGGAGGCAGCAGCAGCCGGCCTTGAACAGATAAACCCCGTGCATCGATCAGAGCTACTATGTACTACTAGTGCCTCCAAATCGCTCCAAGTAAACTAAAGACGGGCCCAAAAGGAGAAAACAAAAAATCAAATGTAAAAGGAGTTCATCAAGGACCATCAGGTGATCAGGAGCACGGCGCGGTGGCCGCCAGGCTGAGCTCGCGGCGTCGCCCGAACACGACGGCGCACTCGGGCAGCTCGCCGAGCCCCGCGAACAGGGCGTCTTCCCCCTGCAGCTCCCGCTCCCACTCCTCCGGCGGCAGCAGCGGCGCGTACAGCGCCGAACGGTGCCACGTCGGGTACTGGTCGAACCACCCAAAGTCGAAGCTTTCGTCCTCCTCGGCCGCCGGCGCCACCGTTGCGGTCGTTGCCGCTTCCGCTTCATGCCCGGCCAGACCTGGGACGACTTTCTGCTCCTGCTCCTCTTCCGGCTCCTGCTCCTGCTCTGGCACTTCTGTTTCTGTCAGCTCACGCTCCGGACCGAGCTCATCCTGCTCGACCACGGGCTCAGGCTTCGGCGCCGGCGGCCGCGTGGACGGTTTGCCTTGCTGGTGGCTGCTGCTCTTGGGCTGCGGCGCCTCGTGGTTGTGGTCGAAGGTGTAGGTGACGAGCAGCACGGTGGGGTCCGCGCGGCTGCGCTCCACCTGCTTCCTCGCCGGGCACCCCTTGGAGCTGCTGCAGCGGTAGTACCCACTGCACAAACACAAGCACAAAGCAAGCTTTTAGCAGGCTGCTAATCGGAGGGAACTAGCATGCAGATGCTGATTAGGTTCAGCACATGAATGAGCAGCAGCTAGACACGTACCGTGGGTAGGGAGAGCCCTTGATGGGCTTCTGCCCATACTTGCGCCACGCCCACGAGTCCGACGGCGGCGGCCCCTCCCCGGTGGCCCCTCTGGGCCGGTCCCCGCACTCGGCGAGCGGCACCGACACAACCCGCTTCTCCACCGATCTCCGGCTGCTTGCTCGCACAGAAAGAGACAAGAGCCAAATCAGCGATCTTTGCAGCTCTGATTTCTAGATTCCCGTACCAGCGCAGCAGCAGGTCACGGGCGCGCAGAACACTCGGTACTCTCTGAGCAGGCACGCGTGAGACTGGAGACGCGACACATGAATCCTGTCCGTACCTGCGCTTAGCTGGCGGCAGCGGTGACGACGGCGAGGCGGGGAGGTCGCGCTCGCGCTTGTTCAGACCGGCGGCCCCGGCGGTGCGAGGCGACTCCGCGTCCGCGTCCGCCCCCGCCGCAGGCAGCGGCTCGTCGGGGGATTCCGCCCGCGGCGAATCCGAGCTGCAGTAGCCGTCCTCGGCCGACGACATCGATCAGATCCCCTCCTCTCTGGCTCTCTTGCCGCCGCTGCCTCGGTGGCCACGCCCGGGCGGAGTACACGGAGCCGGAGACGAGCCTCTGCCCTCTGCTCTGCTCCCGACGCCCACAGCCCCGGACGGATAAAAAGCAGGCAGCTTCAAAGCAAAACTAACTCGCGCTTTCCCAAAGCGCGCATAAAATTTTCGCCCTGATGGTGGAGAAAGTGGGCGGAGGGAGACGGAGTATTGGAGCGAATGATGGAGGGGATTGAAGAGGAGGAGGAAATGGTGGCGAACAGACGGGCCGGGGGCGGATCGATGATGGGCGCTGCGGCTTTCAATGATCCCTCTCCCTCTCTCTCTCTCTCTCTCTCCTCTCGCTCGCGATGCGCGGCGTGTCTGTATATGCGGGGTGCGCGCGCTAGTGGGTGCCTTTTTTTTATGCGAACGATGCTGGCTGGTGTCATCGGGGAGCACCGGGGTGAGCAGGGCAGCCAGGCAGGGCGAGCGAGCCATATCCATACCGGCGCCCGGCGGGCGGCTGCAGGCGTGAGCGTACACGAAGCGAAGCGATATTTTTCTTTTGGTTTGGCGCCTTGCTTGCTTGCTTGTATGCTGTGTTCGTTTTGGATTGGATCTCGCCCGTGTCTTGTCGTTGTGTTGCGTCTCGGAACGGAAGAGGAGAGCCGGAGCGGAGAGCGACGTGCTCGTGGCCGGGCCGGGCCGCGCGCGGAGAGAGCCGTGATTAATCTAGTGGAGGCTGCGATCGCGACCCCCGCCCTAACCACTCCGGGCAGCCAATCATGGACTATGTTCTGCTCATGCACTCCACCCGTGCACACACATTTTCGTGCATGTGCGGATACGCGTGCTTTGAGATGTCCAAATACGGTGTATGTACGTATGCATGGGCTCCTCTGTTCAACCCTGGCCCGTGATCGTGTGTGTGTGTGTGTATATATTGGGAAAGAAGAAGGAAGAACAGGCACATTTTGTGAGGAAACACAAGGGTTTCATGTTGGTTCCCTCCCATTTGTATTTAGTACAACGAACTAGCGCTAAACGCTGCAACCAATCGGCATTTGGAGGTCGCAATGTCCAGCTGCCTTGTTACTTACTTGGTATGTACGTTATTATCGATTGAAAAAGACTTCCAAGATTCTTGGAATGACTTACAATTTGGGATTTTAAAGAGTTTTTGATTGCAACCAATCGGCATTTGGAGGTCGCAATGTCCAGCTGCCTTGTTCCGAGTGTACATCCGCATCGATTAGCGTTCTATTTGGGCTGGTTTGACTGATAAGCCATGACTAAAATTACCATTGACTAGTTTGATGTGAAAGAAAAATACTATTCGTTAGTTGATAAACTATGGTTTATAAACCAAATACGATCAAGCAAACAGGCCGTTCAATATTGCATGTACTCAAAAGAAACGGGCCGGCTAGATCTCTCACATGTAGTTGTCTAAACTACGGTAGTTACATGTGGGAGTAGGACTAAGGCCTTCTTGAGTTGCTCTAACTTCCAACTTTGGCACTATGTCAAAAAGAAGATTTTCCATCACATTAAACTTGTAGTATATGCATGGAGTACTAAATGTAGATAAAATAAAAAACTAATTGTATAGTTAGGTTATACTTTGCGAGACGAACGTTTTAAGCCTAATTAGTCAACGATTAGACAATTATTACCAAATACAAACGAAAATGCTACAATGCACTGCATTTTACAATCCGGTGGCGTCGAATTCGGCTAAACAGGGCCTAAAGAAGCCGACCTCCTCCGTTGGGGAGAGAGTACAGCCAAGTTGGACGTGCCAGAGTAGGGTTCGTTTTCATTAATGATCCATGTGCATCGCTAGAAAAACTATACAAATGTTGAGTATTTTTTAAGCCAATCTCATACTAGATTACTGGTATACTGGCATGGCTGCTATCTATCTGTACGCGGCACTAATTTTATCTGCTGTTTGACACCAAATGCTACTACTGATCTTGATATCGACATTTTAATGATACTCGCTCTTGTTTACGTGCTAATTGAATACAGGGAACACACGACGCATATACATTCCTCAGCCTTTTAGCACGATTCCTATTTTGTCACAATACCAACATATCAGTTATATATCCCGCCAAACTTAGCTAATGCATCAAGTAAATTGTGTGACTATTAGTTGTTAATGGATCAAAATGGGCCTGTTCGTTTAAACTTATCAGCCGAATTATCAGCTAAAATCTATAGTATTTTTCTCTCACAGTAAAACAGTTTCAACTAGCTTATCAGACGGCTTTAATACCAGCCGAACAGGCCCAACCTATGAAACGCTAATTTTCCTGTTTTTCAAGACTCCACTGATTTTCACACCCATTGCAACGGCTTAAAGTGAATATACTTTGAATAAACAACGTAGGACTATAGGAGATGACCAGTTCGCTTAAACTTATCAGTCATGGTACAATGTTTTTATCTTACAACAAAATAACATCCGCCGACTTATCGGCCATAAAAATCATCACACAAACAGCTCCACGCACCCACAAATCCAAGTTGTGCGGCTACGGATTAAGTGCCCTTAATTTTCTCGCATCCGCACATGGTTTCGATGAAAAAAAACTCTTCAAGCCCGCAGGCATCGGTTGTCATGCTTACGCACTGTCCTCCGTATGCCATATACGAGACGATAAGGCGCTAATTGCCTGTTGCGCTGGCTAAAGCACATGAGCTGGTGCTGATGAGCGCACCCGCAGCAGGTGCGGCAAGCTACGCCAATAAGAGGGACCAAAATTAAAAAGAAAACAGCCTACACCTGACAGTGACAATAATATGAAAACCAGCCCCGTTGATGAAACGCCAAGCACCAGCTTAATCAATTCAAGCAAACATTTTCTTTGTTAATCGGCCGAGCGAGCGAGGCACCTGCCCCCCTGCCTGGGCCCTGCTGGTCACATCACGCGGGGCCCACACCGGCCCGGCTCGAGTCCCCACTTGTTCTTCTCAGGGCAGTCCCAATGGTATATTGATGATAGTTTCTATCCTCATTAAATGACTTGCCACGTAGGTCAAAACGCTGATATGACAACGTAATTAATGAAGAAAGAGAGCAAAAATCCTAGAAATGATTTCCTCATGAAGAAATCAGGTCTTCTCTTGACTCAATGCACCAAGAAACCATAAAATCGCCGTTGTGGAGAAACCACCAGTTTCTAGGGGGCTCATACCGCACTCTCATTGGAGAAAGAAGATAGAGTTAGAGAGAAAAAAAAAATAATTATTAATCATAGAAATTATGGATTGAAAAGCAGACCTTTTTTTTTTACAGTATCCTATGTCGTTGGGCTGCCCTCACTCGACGCAAAGGCCCCCTTGATTAGTCTCGGGGATCGCGTTAATTAAGTGGTAATCCAATCGCAGAGATTTAATGGCGTCATGTGGGGGTGGGGCCGTGGCGGGACGCAACGGCTAAGCCTGGTGCCTGCGTGCGTGCCAACGCGCGGACCGGTTGTTGCTCCGCGTTTCGCGAAACCGACGAGGTTTTTTTTTTTTTTTTTTTCGAGGGGAGCGAAACCGGGACGGGGAAGAACGAGAACTGGAGGACCCGGGCCGGGCCGGGCCGCGCCGATGGATGATGGGTCGACCGGCCCGTCGGTCGGTCGGTCGCTGGAGATCTCAATCATTTGCGATGAAAGAGTTGTTTAATTTCGGACGTCGTCACGGATCAGGCCTGATGGGGAGCCTCTCGCCTCTCCCTTTAATCCGCAATCGCAGTCCCGTATTAATTTGGGATTGACATTGATCTCGACTCGTTCTCGGTGACGAAGGCGACGGACAGGAAAAAATATCTCGCTGATGAGCTCTGCGCAATGCAACCATTAGTTGACAGTTTGACACCAGAAAAAAAAACACAAAATGGAGGCATTCTTCGATCTCATCAGGCTAAAGCCTACGGCCGCCGGCCGGCGTAGACGTGCGGTGGTAGTACGTCGAAGACGTTTCTGCGTGATTGCACTAGTTTTTCCATCATCCGCTGCCTCCGCTTCTGAACAGGCATCCTTTGCTTTTGCCGGAGGTCCCGAGTCCGGACGATCGATCAGCATCAGCCAGCAGACGAAACTGCCGCGGCTCGAGTCCTTGAGAAATGCAGTTCAGTTCAGCTGGTGCTCCCAACACGGCAACACCCACCCAGTTGCAAAGGCGGGGATAAAGTTTGTGACTTTTGGATAGCGGCGGCGTCCTAATTTGAGGAGGGCATGATGATTGAGGCCCGTTCGCTTTGTTGAAAAAATAAACTAAAACATTATTCCGGCTAATTTATTGTGAGAGAAAAACACTGTTCTAACTTAAAAACAAACTCAAAAAGATGGATTATAAAAGAAGTGAACAGGTCCGATGAAGCGCACAGTACAGTACTAGCACCGAGGGCGACAGCCTCGTCCCTTCTCTTTTCCGCCGCGTGCGCGCTGTGTGCATGGACATGGAAGCTTCGCTTGCAGGCTTGCTGCAGCTGCGGGACTAGTCAAATTTCGCATGCGCGCGCTTGGTTCCGTGCGCAATTCGTCGGCCTGGACAGGAAAGTCTTTTAGATAGAAGAGTCTTAGCGCCGTTTCTGCATCACCGGAGAGGAACAGCGTTGCTGCCAGGCATTATCAAGATAATATCAGGATAGCATAAAGGAGGGCGGACTTGACCATCAGGCGTGGCTCGCTGTCTTCGCCTAGAGATGGAAGATATTATTGTAATCTCGTGAAGGGAGAAATGGTGTTGGCATGCATGGCCCAAACGTTTTTTCCCCCCCTTGATTATTGCTCCTATATGTTTGACGTTCGTTTCGCTGTGATAAAACAAGTGCAAAAAAGGTCACTTCTTATGAATGCGACCCAGTTATTTTGCTGATATAACTGACTTCGCGTGACGGGAACAATAATAAAAATCGAAACACCTGTTCATTTCCAGTAAGAAATTGATCGGTGGCGTATGCACAGACTGTACCGTGACTGTGGATATGATCA